TCAAGGACCCGAAGCGCTGTTGGAAGGTTCAAACCACAATTTGGATTACCAAACAGATTCCAAACATAACAAGCTTATAGTAAAATCGAGCGGCTCGACGAGACGAATCCAACGAGCCCAAGATCATTAAATTCCGACATCACTACAACATTCAAACGTCAATCGAACGGTTCATGATCATGGGATTCAAGATCGGCCGTCCATCCAACCACTCCCAACTAACCCTTGATCCTCCACCTATTTACGGGACATGCCATTTTCAAAATCTATAAATAGAGCCCCCTCTCCTCTTGAAGAGGGACCCCAGAGCCTAAGGAAAAAAGAGAGAGATCAGAGATCGCACTTGCTTCCTAGCCTCCTCGACCACCGCCGATCCACCGCCGTTGTCTCGCCGGACCACCACCTGACGCATTGTGCTCCACCACCTCCTAACGCCGTTGCTCCGCCGGACCACTGCCTAACGCCTTGTGCTCCGCCGAACCGCCGCCTAACGCCATTGCTCCGCCGAACCACCGCCTAACGCCCTGTGCTTCACCAGACCACCGCCTAACGCCTTTGCTCCGCCGAACCACCGCCTAACGCCGTTGCTCCGCCAAACCACCGCCTGACGCCGTGTGCTCCACCTGACCACCATCTAACGCCGTTGCTCCGCCAGACCACCATTTGAGACCCTCATCTTCGCCGGACGCCCTACGTTCCGCCAGACCTTCACCTGAAGTTCTCATCTTTGCCAGGCCATTGTCGAAGACTCTCATCTTTACCAGATCATCATCTAAGGCCCGGAGTTCTGCCCGATCATCATATAAGGCCCGAAGTTCTTCTATACCATTACTCGACACCCGGACTTCTATTGTACAATTGCTACTTGTAATTTGATCGTCCTTAAAGACGAGTCAGCTCATTGTAATTAACTCAAGTTCTAGTGAAATCTTTTCAACTGGGCTAAGCCCCGTGGTTTTGTCCCTTTTAAGGGTTTTTCACGTAAAAAAATCTTGTGTTCTCCGTGTGTGAGCTGGATATCCATATAACGCTAAGACGGACGATTAAGGCTTCGTTTGGGACGGCTTTTTTATTGCTTTCTAAAACGGAGTTTTAGTGCAAATTTTTTTTATTTTTTACTAAAACTCTATTTTAGAAAGCATTAAAAAAGCCGTCCCAAACGAAGCCTAAAACTCTATCGCAGCGTATATTCTAGTCCACAACAGATATGAACAAAAATATTTATTTCTTGTGTTTGAATAAGTTTCTTCCATGAAACTTTTTTTTTTTATTATAGATGATATTATTCTGAACATTTCAACTATAAGAAATAGAAATTTCACTAGTCAATTTTTTATGCGTAAATTTTCTATGAATATTTGATAAATGTGATAATTCTAGCATTGATTACAGTTTATTAAAAGTCTTAAAATAATATTTTAAACATCCTTCTAAAATAGCATTTGGATAGACTAATGTTAAGTATGTATGTACTTTACACATGCAATAACACTTCGAATATTATACATATGACATTTTATGCATCATCACATTAATGCTAAAAGTCATAAGTGATGATTTTATCAATTAAAATAATTGAATTTCGAAGTAATTAGACAGAAAACTTTTGATTTAAAAAATATTTTTAATCACAAATAAGGATTAATGCGTATTTAAAAATCTTCATTATTTATTTATACAATTATATTATCAAATTTATTAACTATAAAAGCATATATCTTGAATTACCTTTGATTCTTAAGAAAAAAAAATGTAAGAATATTTTGACCAAAATTTTATTAAAAAAATTTAGAATTTTGACACAACCATTTAAGTGATATGTATTATGAAATCTTTAAAACTTACTTTTTTAGTACATTCATAAATAATAGAAATAATTGGTTGAAAAATATATTATAAAATATTATAATATTTATTTACAAGAATAAAATCAAAATATTATGATAAAATTAATATGTTATAAA